GGCTGAAAACTCGTTAAAAAAACCCATGCGCTACCAGCAAATTTGCGCTCTGGGCGAGATCGACGGTAGATTATGTCAATGACTTGAGAGCGTTGTACTACCCTTCCTACTTCTCTCGCCGCAGGTGGCGATTTATTACCAGACCAGTCGCAGCCCGAGTCTTGCAGTAGGAGGCGGGTCGCACCGGCGCTTGCCGGGGTTGCGGCTGGCTAGATGGGCACTGATACCTGTCTCACTCGCTTTCTTGAGGACCCTTCTTCCTTTTCCTTTTGTAGTAGGCATATCCTCCCCTTCAATCACATCCAATCAATTGCAACGTCCCCCTTCAAGATAGACTGATCCACAAACGATCACAGAGGTCACTCAAAGGATGGGAACGAATTTAAGCAGCTTATCGTGAAAATGGTGGGCAGGATTAGGGACCGCGTGTGGATCCTAAACCTTTCACTACTTCAATCTGACCGCACTTCACAAGAAAAACTTTTAATAAGACATTGAAAAGAGAAAGATGCAGTTAAATATGAACCCTTCACGAAAGACTCCTGCATTTTCAGCATAAAGAAGACGAATGTCCGATAGACGCCGATCTATGTCTTCGGATCAAGGATCTGGTATCTATTGCATGGCAAGTCAGCGATGGCCTGGTGAGTTCCAAGCCTTCTAATTTTTAGCATTTCTGTACTGGACGGAGGGTATAGCAGCGTCCATTGACGCCGCAGTATCCTACACAGATAAGGTGCCGTTTGGTCAAAACAAGCTTACCATCCTTCAAGGTTCAGGTACTTTTGATAAGCTTATCTGAACAAGTCACCGGCACCGACCCCTGCATAAATGGATCGTCATTTATTAGGGCGGATTCTCACTCTAGTTACTTTTCCCCCTCTCAGCTACATCGGAATTTTTGGCGTGGAAGTGCAATTCTGCGAAGTGAGAAATCTCAAATTACTGAGTGATGATCACTTCATTTCAAAGCGTATTAATTCTACACTAATAATTTCCTTCAAAAATGGATTATCAGAAATTTTTGAATGCAATTGTGTGTGCTAGGGCCACTTCAAACGAAAGGGTATACAGCCGCTGAATATCATCGCAGCTTGTGCACAGCCAAACACCACAGGGGGTTCAGAATTTTTGGTACAAATATGAAACTTTCTATAAAGGAAAACCTCCAGTAGTGAACGGAGACATTAAAAAATCAGTATAATCAGATCTCAACAAAATCTCAAGGAAAGTTGCACGAAAAAACTTCAAATGTTCCTGTTCA